TAGCCACTCTAGCTCCTTTATGAACACTGTTTGTGTGGTATATCTTTTTATTTTCAATCTGTTTGTATCTTCAAATCTAAAATTTGTCTCTTGTGAACAACTTATAGTCTGATCTTATATATTTCTGTTAATCCAGAGTGACAACTTCTGCCTTTTGATTATAATCTTTTGTCCATTTATGTTTATTCTTATTATTGACATGGTTGGATTACTTCTGTGACTTTGCTGTTTGTTTTCTATATGTCTGTCATTTTTGTTCCTCTGTTCCTCCTTTACCACCTTCTGTGTGTACATTAGTTTTTTTCTAATTTACCATTTAAATTTTTATTAATATTTTGATTACATTTAAAAATTATTTTCTCAATTGTTATGCTAGATGTTACAATATGCACCTTAATTTACCATGATCTACTTCAGATTGATACTCATTTAAGATGCACCATCATAGGTTCATTCCCTCCCCTCTCTTGTGCTATTATTGTCATACATGTTCTGTCTATATATGTTACAGACTCAATAATACACTACTATAATTATTACTTTGTACCATCTTGTATCTTTTAAAGAAGTTAAGAGAAGAAATCAAAAATATAGGATATTTTATCCTGTTCTGCATACTTACTGTTCTCAGTACATGTCATTTGAGTTGCCATCTCTCTCATTCTCCTACACCTCTTCTGTGCTTTTATATGTCATATATATTATATTTTGTGTGTTATAAGCCCTACAGTATAATTTTTAAATAATTACTTTATGCAGTTGTCTTTTAAATCAGTCAAGAAAGTAAATGGAAATGTTTATATTGTCTAATCACCTGCACGATGACCTTACCAGAGCTCTTTGTTTCCTTGTGTGAATTTGAGTTTCCCTCCGAGGGTGTCGCTTCCTTGCAGCCCAAAGAACTTCCTTTAGTCTTTTCTGCAGGAGGCAGGCTTGCTAGCGGTAGATTCTTTCAGTATTTGTTTGGGAATGTTTTTATTTTGCTTTACTTTTTGAAGGATAGTTATGCTGGATATAGAATCCTCAGTGACAGTTTTGTTTCTTTTGGAAATGTGCATATGTCGTCCCGCTGCCTCCTGATGCCCGTTGTCTCTGACGGAGGTCACTGTCCGTATTGTAATGGTTCCCTCATTCATCATGAATCATTTTGCTGTTACTGCTTTCAGGTTTCCTCTTTGTCTGTGTCTCAAAGCTGTCTGATGATGGCGTGGATCTCTGTGTTTATTCTGCTTGGCATTTGTGTAGGTTCTTGGATATAGGTTATTTTTTTTCCATCAAATCTGGGAAATTTTGACTTTATTTCTTCAAACATTTTTTCTCTCCCTTTCTCTCCTATCCCTCACACAGCCATGTTACGTGTATGATGGTGGTGTGTTCAGTGGTACCCCCAGGTCCCTGAGAATCTGTTCATTTTCTTCCTTCTTTTTTCCTCATCTTCAGATTGTATAATTTCTATTGCTGTGTCTTCAAATTCACTGATTCTTTCTTCTGCCATTTCAAATCTGCTGTTGAGCCCCTCTAGTGATGTTCTTATTTCTGTTATTGTCTTTTTGATTTGAGAAATTTCATTTAGTTCTTTTTATATAATTTCTACCTCTCTATTGATAGTCTCTATTTGATGAATCATTGTCACTGAAAATTAATAAAAGGAAACCTCATTTAAAATGGAGTCAGGAGGCCAGAAGGGGGAGCTCCCCCGCAGTACCACTCGAGGTCAGTTATAGGCCCCAACAAGAGTCAACAAGAAAGAATTCTTAACTACAGGAAGAAATATGCATTCCGTCCCAAACAGAAGTCAGCGACCCCAGTGACTCAGCCAATAAGAAACCACCACCATCCTGAACTCCTGCTTTTCTCAATGGACTTTCATGCAGAACGACCCTCCCAATTTCCTTCCTTCTCCCAAAAAATGATGTTCCTCTCCCTTGTTTGTTGGATTTCTCTGTGGTCTGCCATAGCATGCACATCTTGATTTGCAATTCTTTGGCTATTCTCGAATAAACTCATTTTGCTGGTAAAATAGCTGGCTGCTTTATTTTTAAGGTTGGCATCACCATGCTTTTCTTTAATCCTTTTAACATGATTTCCTTTAATTCTTAACATTTTCAGTAGTTTCTTTGAAATCCTTATCTCTTAAAGCCAATATCTGAGTGCTCTCAGAAGTGGATTCTATTGATTTTTTTTCTTCCTGTGTATGGCTCACGCTTTTGTGTTTCCTTGCATGTGTCATACTTTTTTGTTAAAAAACTTGGCATTTTAACTAATACATTGTTACGTAACTCTGGATTCTTCTCTCTCTCCTCACTGCGAGGTGGTGGTGTTGGTGGTGGTTTTTGTTTGCTTGTTCATTTTAATCATCTGCCTGGACTGATTCTGTGGAGTGCATTCCACTGTCATATGCAACATCTGCTGTCTCTGCTCAGCTTTTTAAATTTTTTTAAAATGTTTTGATTTTCAGGCTTGGCTTGGTTCGCAGGGGCTGTCCCTGCGTCAGCATGGCTCAGTGGTCAGCTTTTGGTTTGGCAGAGGTTATGCTTAAATGCCTGTGCAGATAATGCTCTACCCTTTGCTGTTAGATCCGTGTGACTTGGGGAATGCTTTCAAAATTCAGATAGTTTGGAGGTCTGCCCATTTTTTTACTTTGTTTCTGATCTCATGGACTTTTTTAACATTAGGCAAGCTGTTATTTGTAAGTTTTTATAGATGTTCTGTATCAGATTGAGGAAATTTCCTTCTGTTTCTGCTGGAAGTTTTAACATGAATGAATGTTGAATTTTATCAGATTCTTTTTCTGCATCTTTTGTGACGATCATCGAGTTTCCTTCTGTTTTTCTACCAATGAGATATATTACATTGATTAATTTTCAAATGTTAACTCAACCTCAGTTTCCTGGGATTAATATCACTTTATCATGACGTAATAGTCTTTTTTATGTATTGTTAGGTTTGATTAGCTAATATTTTTGTAAGGAATTCTGCATCTGTGTTACTGACTGCTACGTACTTACTTTCTTGTACCATCCTCACTGAGTTTTGGTGTAGGAGTTACGGTGGTCTTGTGAACTGAACGGGCAAGGCATTCACTCTTGCTTTATTCTTTCAAAGGGTTGGTGTACAATTGTTATTTCTTCCTTGTGTGTTTGGCAGAATTCATCAGTGAGATGACCTGGATAATAGTTTTCTCTATGACAAGATTTTTAAGTACAGATTTAATTTCTTTGTGAGGCTGTTCATATTCTTAAACTATTTCTTGCCTCAGTTTTAGAAGGTTGGACTTTTCAAGTATTTAGTCTATTTCATCTAAGTTGTCCAATTTTTTGGTCTAAAGCTGGATATAATATTCCCATAAGCCTTTCAAGGGCTGAAGTATCTATTGCAATGCCCTCTTTTAATTCCTGATTGCTAATTTGCATTTTCTTAACTTTTTTTCTTGATCGTTTCTTACTGGAGTTTAATTTTTTAAATTATTTCAAGGAGCTAACTTTTGGCTTTGTTAGTATTTTGTATTTTTTCTGTTTTCAGTTTCACTGATAGCTGCTTTTCCTTTCTTCTACTTACTTTGGGTTTAATTTATAACTTTTTGAGATAGAAGCTTAGATCACTGATTTTAAACTTTTCTAAGAAGTTTTCAAATACATGCATTGAGAACTATAAACTTCTGCTCTGTTTGCATCCCACCATTTTTTGTATGTCATGTTTTCCATTTCATTCACTTCAAATAGTTTCTAATTTCCTTTATTTGGAACTGTGTTTAATTTCTAAATATTTAAGGATTTTCTAGTGAGCTTTTTATTAGTGATTTCTGGTTTCATTTATTTGAGGACAGAGGACATGGTTGAAATTTATTAAAACTTGTTATACTCTTTTTTTTATGTTCTAAACGTAATTGGAAAGAGTGCATTCAGCAGCTGGATGATGTTTCTATAAATATCAGTCAGGTTGAGTTGGTTAAATAGTGTTCAAATTTCTATATTCTTACTAATTATTTTTGTCTTCTTGCTATATCAATCATGGGGAGAAATTTGTTAAAATCTACAACTGTATTGTCTATTTCTCCTTTTAGTTTTGTTAATTTTTGCTTAATGAATTGTGAAGTTCTGTTACTAAATGCATACATATTTAGTATTGTTAAGTCTTTCTGTTGGATTTACTCTCTTACTATTCTGCATTGTCCCTCTTTATCCCTGGTAATACTCCTAGTCTTAAAGTGACTTCTGCTATGATATGTCTTTTGCAATTCCTTTACTTTGATTTATCTGTGTCTTTATATTTCACAGTGTCCCTTGTGAACAGGATATAGCTGGGTCTTGTTTCTTGACCCAGGCTGACAACCTGCCTTTTAATTAGAGAATTTAGTCCATTTATATTTAGTATAATTGCTAATATGGTTGAGTTTAATTCCACCATCTTGTTATTTGTTTTCTGTTTCTTCCATTTGATCTTTGTTCCTTTGCTTTTCCTTTCCTGCTTCCATTTTCTCCTCCTCTATTGACTCGTTATTACTGGCTACTTTAGAGTTGTGCTGTCCAGTATGGTAGCCACGAGCCACGTTAAATTAAGTTTAAAATTCCATTCCTCGTTGCATTAGCTGCACTTCAGAGGCCCAGTAGCCAGATGTGCCTATTATTGTATTAGACAGTACAGATTAAGCCAAAAAGTTCTGCTTGACAGTCCTTTAGAGATTATGATCAGGATTTATTTTGAGTCAAAAGTATCCAGTGTCAGGTGTGAAAAAAACAACATTCTGATTGGAGATGTGTGTTCTGGTTGTGTCTTTACTACTGATTAGCTTTGTGTCTGCAGGTGAATGTCCTGCTGCTCTCAGCCTCAGTTTCTTTTCTAAAACTTGGGGATATTAATTCCTTCTCTTTCTGCTTCATGGAGTGCTTGTGGAAAAGAAAACTGTACAACAGTAAAGTGCTTTATAAAGACAAAAGCAGTTTTAAAAACAGTATCGAAAATCAATTGACTAGTTGTCTGTGTTTCATTTGCTCTTTTAGGTTGCTGACAGAACTGGAATCTCCTTCTTGGTGGCCCTTTAGCTCCAAGCTTTGGAAGATGCCGTCAGAAACAAAGACCAGGGGAGGCACCTCAATGGCTAATTCCAAAGCTCTGGGGAAAGAAGGGATAGTGATCAGAATTCCTGCTGTTATTTCCCAAAGAACAGAATCTCATGTTAAACCAGGAAGGTTCACCGTCCTTGTTTCTGGGTTGGAGATCCATGACTCAGATTCTTTGCTCATGCACAGATTTGAACGAGAAGATGTAGATGACATTAAGGTTCACACACCTTACGAAATTAGCATCCGCCAGCGGTTTATTGGGAAGCCAGACATAGCCTATCGTTTGATATCTGCCAAGATGCCAGAGGTCATCCCCATTTTGGAAGTACAGTTCAGCGAGAAGATGGAGTTGCTGGAAGACACCAGGACACTCGGGAGCACTGGGACCTCTTCCCTGGCAGAGAAGGGCTGCTCAGTCTGGCATGCAGGTGAGTGCCTGTCAAAACAGCCTGTGCACAGACCTCTGGCGTCACAACCAGACTCAGCACCGCCTTGGTACATGTTGACATGATGCATCACTTGAGCAGCTACTGGTTTCAGCTCACTAGCGATTGCCCATTTGTATGTAAATAAAAATAATTTCAGACCGTTTTCCTTAGTACTTGCCATCTGTGAGTCTCAAATCACTCAGGTTTATTACACACTTGAGAACTGTGTGGTTTCCAAATAAATCAGAAAGGGTTTTGATGACCCTTTCAGAGCAAAGGGAAGCTCCAAATTTGGTGTTTTCACCTCTTTCCTCTGTTTGATTTGAGAACGAGCACTTTAGGATCTTAACTGGCACCATCCCGCCAGCTCTGGTGGCTTTCCCGTCCCTCTGCACTCCTGGTCTTTTGGCGGTCAATCAAGTCTTCCCAGCCCACCGTCCAGTGTGCTTAGGTATCAGAATCTTTGAAAGCTACGTCTCATAGAGTTTGTTTTTTGGCATCTGTGAGGTACTGTGAAACCCTCGCTCTCCCTGGCAGTGTGGCCACAGTGCCCTCTTGCTTCTCTGTGGGGTGTGGATGGGGTAGCTGGGCATGGCCGTAGGGGTCTGTGTGGGTGGTAATACATGGATACATCCCACGTCCACATGTGGTGAGGGCATGGGTCCCTACCTCCTCCCTAGCACATTATACCTGCTATCCCTGACTCCTCCGTTTTGCATTCTGAGCATCTTATAGCGTCTCATTTCTTTGATTGATTCTGAGATGGACCATCGGACACTTTTTATTTGCTTTTGGCCCCGCGGGTTTGCTCTGTGGATTGCCTGTTCTGGTTTTTTTCCTAATGGGCTGTCTCTTTGTTTTTCAGATTTGCAGGTGTTCCCTATATATTCTATTCATCCCTTGTTGACTTTAGAGGCTGCCAATACTTCTCCCAGACCATCAGCCTCTATTACAGAAATCTTTAATTTTGCTGTGGTCAAATCTACCATTTTTCCCCTTAAGTTTGTTTTTGAGCCCTGCTTAAGAAATCCCAAAGTCGTAAAATATTCTGATATTTTCAAATACTAGCATTATAGGTGATGTCACTTCTGTATTGTCGTGACTTCTTTGGTGGCTGAGTGTCTGTTAAAGGAAGAGACATGTTTGTCACTATTTCACTTCCTTTTCTTGTTCTCTTAAGTGATTGATTTTGGTTCCAATATGTAATCTGTTTCCCTAACACATGAATATTTTTATGTTATTCTAGATGACTTCAGGTTTCCAAAAGAAGTATACTTGATAATAGATCTGGTCCCATAACTACTGAAATGTTGGAAATGTCCATGTGAAAACTTAATTCAAAAACTTACTTTCTTGGGGCTGGCCCCGTGGCCGAGTGGTTAAGTTCGTGCGCTCCACTGCAGGTGGCCCAGTGTTTTGTTGGTTCGAATCCCGGGTGCGGACATGGCACTGCTCATCAAACCACACTGAGGCAGCATCCCACATGCCACAACTAGAAGGACCCACAACGAAAGAATATACAACTATGTACTGGGGGGCTTTGGGGAGAAAAAGGAAAAAAAATAAAAATCTTTAAAAAAAACAAAAACTTACTTTCTTGGCATTTCCAGATTCTTCTTTGGCCCTCACTTAAGGCAGGACTCAGAAGCTGGCCCATAGAAGGGCTGAGAAGGGTGGGCTGCAGAGCCCACATAAGACCTGACCAGAAGGGCCTTCAGGCATGGCCATCTGGAGCCAGCCTGGGAGCCTCTCTGACACCCCGTGTCTCTGACTGAGTTGCCCCACTGCTGCTGTCCTCTGGGAGGAGGCCCGGGGCTGGCAGGCTGGATGCAGAGTGCCGTCGGCTGCCAGTTCTGCGGGTGCTGCTTCAGACGCCCTGTGCCAGGCATGGTGCCAGGCCCCCTTGCCCTGACAGCAAGACTAAATGAAATGTACAGCCCTTGTCTTCATGAAGCTCCGCCACTTTGTGGCTTTTATATCAGGCATGGTGGTTTCAGAGAGAGAACACGGCACAGAAGTAATGAATGAGATGGCAGAAGCGAGCGTGCCACATGTGGCACAGACGTCATGCTGTAGTGGGACGAGTGTGAACTTGCTGTGCCTGCTGTTGTGAGGGCGGGCCCCTGGAAGGTGAGATGGCAGCTCTGACCCAGAGCGTCCAGGCTGCAGACAGAGCTGGGGAGGAGCACGGAATGAGTGCCAGGGCCTCCATAGCCTCAGTGGGATTGCAGGAAGCTAGATGGGTGCAAATTCTGCACACATGCCATCAGGAACAGCAGGCTGGACCTCTTGGGCACAGGCTGAGGCTGCTTGCCACAGGCCCAATACCCTCCTCAGGGAAGCCGCAAATCTGCTTTTAAGGCCTTTCAGCTGATTCAGCCAGGCCCATCAGATTGTCCAGGACAGGCTCCCTTCCCTAAAGTCAGCCAATTAACAGGTCTTCTCCACACCTCAGATACCTTCCCAGCAACACCTAAACCAGGACTGGATTGAATCACTGGAGACCGTGGCCTCGCCCATCACAGTAATGGATTGTATGTGTGTGGAATAAGCTGAGCCACATCCAGGACGACAGATGGGTTTTCATCTTGGTGCTAACTTTAGCCTCTGGGTGGGATCCCTGCTGTGTGTCTGAATCTGGACCAAGCGAGAAGTGCCATCCGCTTGTGAGCCACCCTGCCTTGGGGGTGTGCGCTCACCACCGTGGTTTGAGAGGCACACTGACAAGGAGTTTGGGGTTAGCTAGCATGCTGAGTTCAGTAAGCAGGAAGGTATCTGATTTGCTAGGAACTTTGCAGTCATCCCATCCAAGCCCGGCCGCGAGAGCATGCTCTGCCTGTTGGCTCTGCTGCGGTGGCATCTGCCGACATGACGCCACCTGCAGCACCTCTGTTTCTACTGCTCCACATTGGAAACCACGGAAACGGCAGAGGTGGAAACCGTGACTTTGACCTCTCAGAAATTCACTCCTCTCCTCACTGAGCTGTTTTGGTGAAATGTGGCCAGAAGGTGGCGGTCTGGTAAAGCGACCAGTGTTTGCCGTGAGTCAGTGTCTAGCAGAACTTTCCAGAGACCTCGGTAGTAATGTGTAATGTAGACGGGTGAGGGCCTGGGGTGGCCAGGATGGCGGCCGGGGAGGAGGAGAGGATCCTGGGCTTCAGGAATGACACAGGCCGGCGGTTTCCACCTTAGGCAAGAGCATTGAAACTGCTGTTTTTCTGCATGACATCTTTAAAATAATTTTTTTAGTTTTAGAATAGTTTCAGACTTGCAGGGAAGTTGCAAGGATAGTACAGAGTCCTGTGGCCCCCACACCCAAGCTTCCCCTCTCGCTGTCCTTTGACGTTAGCATAACAAGCGTCTGTCGATGCATCGTTGCTCACTGAAGTCCAGATGTTACCCAGATCTCCTTGGGCTCTCCTGTCCTGGGGCCCCACCAGGACCCCCAGGACATTTCAGCATGCGTCTCCTTGGGCTCTTCTTGACTATGACTTTCTCAAACCCCTTGCTTTGATACCTTGATGGTTTTGAGGAGGAGTGGTCAGGTTTTGTAGAATGTCCCCCGGTTGGGCTCTGTCTCCTGTTGTCTCATGATCCACTGGGTGACAGGTTTGGGAGGAAGACCCCAGAGCCCTTCTCATCACATCAGAGCAAGGTCCGTACATAGCATTTTTAAGGGTTTTTTTGGGTAGTGATTTTTGTCTTCGTTGTTTGCTGACTGTCACCTTCTGAGAAAGGCCTTCCCTGACCATCTAATTTTTTTTTTCAAGATTTTGTTTCTCCTTTTTCTCCCCAAAGCCCCCCAGTACATAGTTGTATATTCTAGTTGTGAATCCTTCTAGTTGTGGTATGTGGGACGCTGCCTCAGCATGGCTTGACCAGCTTTGCCATGTCCACACCCAGGATCCGAACCAGTGAAACCCTGGGCTGCTGAAGCAGAGCATGCAAACTTAACCACTCATCCATGGGGCTCCTGACCATCTAATTTAAGAGGCCTCCGGTCACCACTCACTCACCCTCTGGAAATCTTGCCCAGCACTGGGACAGGTGCTCCAGAGCCAGACCTGATCTGTCTGGACAGAGGGCACACACATCTCTGTGTGATGGTAAATAAACATCTGAGGCATTGAAGTCCCTGTGTAGGATCATCCATGTAAGACCATCTTTTCAGGCAGTGGAGTCTGACCCTTGGATGTGGGCATCAGTCTGACCACTGACAGCCCCTGTGTGGTCACTGGGATGCAGGCACCACACTGACCACTGACAGATACTATGTGGTCACTAGGATGCTGGCACTGTGCTGATCACACACAGGCCCCATATGGTCACTAGGAACTAGGCACCCCCTGACCACCGCTAAAATCCTGGGGAGCTGCTCAGCCCTCACCCACTTGATCCCTTCGAAGGCCGCATGGGCCCAAGCTGTGCACCATCTAATTTTGTAAATTTGCAGAGTCAGTTCTAATTGTAACCTTTTGAGACTGCTGTCTCTCTCCATTTTAGGTTTCTTTCTGTTAAACTTGCTGTTGTGTGGAGGGCATGGGCATTTTGTGTTTGTTCTGAAAGGGCTTCCCACCCCAATAAACTTCTGAGTCTGTCCCTGGGTGGACTGGGCATTTCCCTGTGTCATCAATGAGGCATTGGGGGGCCAGGGATGAGGAGAAAGACTCGCCTGTGGCCAGACAGGCATGGAGCCTCATTTCTGCTCCCAGCTCAGGCCCTGGTGGTCTTTGCTCTGAACTTGCGGTGAGGTCAGGAGTCCATCTGATGCACAGAGGAGACTGGTGTCCTGTTGCCTCCTGCAGCCCAGCTCTTGCTCAGGGTTTCCCTCGTTGCCTCATGTTTCCTGGAAATTGAAATCATCTGTATGTTCCCCTGTAGCTTGAACCATTTGTGCTTATTTTGTTTAACTGAGATAATAATGACTTTAGAGACAAAACCCATCTTATACGGAAACAAATTAATTTTCTCAGAAGTTATTTCAAAGCACTGAAGTAACTGAGTCAGCAGCTTAAGTCTCAACACAGCACTGGGGGTGGCTGAGCCCGTGCTAGGCAGGATCCCACTGACCCTGCAGCTCATTGTGAAAAACATCCCTGACTTAGTGTATTCCAGGGAGAAAAATCCTGTTTTGGCTTTTTGGTTGTTTAAGTAAAATCCATTTTGTTAAACGTTCAAAATGTCTCTGTATATTGTATAGCTAAAGGTGTTGAAATGGAAGCCAGAGTGATAGGGAAGGAGCACAGTGCTGGGCACAAGTGTGAGTCGCTGTGGGCCTTGCTCTCAGAGAGCTAGTTGGGGAGATCCCGGTTTGAGAAGATGCTGAAAAAATAAATAGTGTAGTACCGAGCAAGTTAGTTTCAAAGGGCACAAACTGAATGATACCAGGACCGATGAGGGAAGACTGCTGCTGGTGGAAGGGCCCAGTGGAGGACAGGCCACCAGGCTTTCCCTGGGGGACATCCCATCTGCTGACGGCTGCAGATTGAGTACAGGGGAGCGAGGGCCAGCCTGCCAGGGACGAGGTGCCAGGGGGCTAGATCATTGGTTGGCGGGATTCACATCAGCAAGGGAGATGCACTTGGCTGTCTCATGACCACTGATGGTTAACGCCAGGCGTGTCGGGGGGCCTCTCCTTCAGGCTAACAGTAACCAGTGGAACACGTCCTCTGTTTCTGCTGTCGTATCTTAAGCCTTGCCCTGCAGTGTCCGGCTGCTGGCCATTTTAGAAAAGTGCTTTTCATTATGTAACATCTCAGTGAGTGACATCTTAGATCACCTGAGCCCAGGCAACAGTGAGTTCCATGCCGTGGAAAGTTCTGTGCTGGTTAATAAACCCCCAGGATGTTGGACTTCGGAGGGTGGCCCTTTGGAGATTGTAGCATGCAGGTTGTGAAATCAGTTTGATTGGTTGTAACCAGCTTTTTTTTAAAGAACGAATGAGAAAAGCAGACATCTGAGTGCATGGTGTCTAGTAAGGGTTTTGTCTTGAGAGACTTTTTCAGACCCCCGAGATGCACTGAGGGTCTGGTGGTTCTGTGTGGATGCGCTTCTCGTGGTGGCATACAGTTGAGGAGCACGAGGGCTTCCTTCCCGCTGGAGACAGGCCTAGGGGAGGGGAGCTCGCAGGTCTGGGACCCTGGGTCTGGCCTCCATGCACGTCTTGCTCCAGCGATCAGTTCCTGAGCTCCACTCCCTCTGGCCTAGGCCCTTTTCCTCTCTAGGATCCTAAGAAACTGTGCTCTCATCCTTGTTCCAGCCTGTGTTTATCCCAGACGAGGCCAGGCCTTCTTTGCGCAGCCAGGCACTCTCCAGGAGTGTTAATTTGTAAGAATGACTTTAAGAAATAAGAACAGACAGGGTGTGTGTATGTCCAGGGTGGCTGGTCTCTAACCTGGGAGGAGGGGCTTGCCCAGGCAGCAGGTCTTGGAGGCCACCGCTTGGCCACCTGCTCTTCAGGTCAGCGAAACCTTTACCCAGTGATTCCTCCTCCTTCCCCGGCTGACAGTCACCTCGACGATTTCTTCCTCCTTCCTCCCAGCGATTTCCTCCTTCTTCCTGAGAGCGCTTTACCCAATGATTTCCTCCTTCCTTCCCTGAGAGAGCTTTACCCAGTGATTTCCTCCTCCTTCCTTTCCTGGCAATACATTCATTCACAGTTCCCAGCTGCTCTGGCCAGATGGCCCTGCTTACTACTGTCAGGGTCCTGGGAAGGATGTGGGGGTCACCTGTTGGTCCCCTATGCTCCCCATTCCACTGAAAGAGAAAAGGCTGCTCAGAGGAGCTGGTGCTGGAATCTAGACTGCTGGGTCTCGGCCTAGTGTGCCCTCTGCTTTCCAGCATCCTAATAAACAAACATGCTGTGTATCTGAGGTGATCTGTAATATGAAAAAGAGCAGGAGACAGACTCTAATTGATGCTCTTATCTGGGCCCTGCAGTGCCAGGTTGCAGCTGGAGTCAGCTCTTTAAATAAAGGACAGGTGGCACACTGCAGGAGGGGCCGTGAGCCTCCCTTGGTTATTCCCATCTCTCGCCAGGCTGCCCTTTCACTCCTGGGCGAGATTACCCAGGCACAGGTGTTGTGTGGGTGGAAACACCCCTGAGCAGTGCCTGGCCGCGTGCAGCACTCCAACTCACCCCCGCCCTAGCACAGCTCCACACTCCACTGTGTTTGGCCTGACCAGCTGGCCATTTCCTGTGCTCTCTGGAACCGCAGCATGCTGTGGGGGTAATCAGATGGCACTGCGGTCCCAGCATGTATTCATGTGTGTTTCAGCAGGGTTCAACACATGTTATGCTGTATACTCCAAGTCTGTAGTCTTCTCTCAGAGAAAAAGAGACAGTGACCACCCCTGGATAAAGAGCTAGACCCTGAGTGTTTCCAGTGCTCCAGGCTCTGATCAGTGTGGGAAAGGAAGCAGCCCTCGTGGGGGGAGAAGGCGAGGCTGGGCAGACCCACCCCACTCAGCTTAGCAGAGGCTGACAGAGACGGACCTATCACACCCACCAGCCAGCAGGCACTGAGGCCACAGACCAGTAGATGCCTGTGAAAACACTTCGACAGCCTTAAACACCACTCTTTGTAAAGCTCTGAATGTTCTTGTGTTGTTCACACCTTCCGGAAGAGGTCACTGCTGTTTGACTTTCCATTCCAGCGTCTGGGCTGATGGACCGCTCAGTGCACCAAGAGCCCTCCTCAGCAAGCCAGGGAGGCAGGCCACTTCAGCTACAGACGAGTGGGACGTTCGTTTCTGAGGGGGACGCCCAGGAACTGAGACAGGTAACACGTTCACAGTGTCACATCCTCCCCTGCAGGCGACTCACTTCTCTTTCCTGTCTGGAATAACTCTGCACTGTTTATGCTTGCCTCTCACCTGTGAGGAACGGCTGGGACATCACCTAGTTTGCTCTGCTCCCTATAGCTGGAAAGGGGTGAAGAGGGCAGTGCCATTCCAAGTCCATGTACTTTGTGGCATGTAGACACACACAGCATTTCCATACGCACAGTTGCTCTGGTGTCTGCCTCTGCCTGCTATACGTGTATGTGCATGTGTACTGTGTATATGCACACGTGAGTGTGCACACATGTACATGTGGGTTGTGTGGGCTGTGCATGTGTGCTTTGTGCATGCACACATGCATGCGCATGTGGGTTCTCTGTGTGTTGTATGTGCACTATGAGCACACATATGCAGTGCCTGTGTGTGTGTTTGCTGTGTGTGTTGTGGGTGTGCTGCGTGCGCATGTGCTGTGTATGTGTATATCTGCATGCTGTGTGCACATATGTGTGGTGCCTACACATGTGTGTTGTGTGTCTGGTATGAGTGTATCTGTGTGCGTGTGTATGCTCGTGACGCACATGTGTGGTGCCTGCACATGTGTATGCTGTGCATCTGTTCCACAGGTGCATATAGAGTTGAGGGTGCTAGCTGTCTCAGATCACTCTCAAGTGCTCAACACTGGATGCTTGAGGAGGTTGCCACTTTTCATCCAGGAAGTTGACATTTAAACAATAATTGATAGAAATACATTTAACTTGTCTTCCTGTGTTACTGCTGGAAAATACAATGGCTTTCTTTTTTCCTTTTTTAATAATTTTGAAGCAAATACCTAGACATCTTACTTCATTCATAAATATTTCAGTATGTATCTTAAAAAGACAAGAACTGTTAAAACAAACCCAATATAATATCATAATCACCTTAAAAAGGTAAAAATTAATTCCCTACTGTCATCAGATACCAAGTCAGTACTCATATTTCCCAAGTCATCCCATATAAGAGAGTATTTGGATATTTGTTCAGATCAGGACCTAGGGAGGCCCGTGCAGAACATGTGATGAATCGGGTCCTGAGGAGGCCATGCAGGGCACTTGGTGAATCAGGACCTCAGGAGGCCATGCGGGGCACTTGGTGAATCGGGACCTGAGGAGGCCATGCAGAGCACTTGGTGAATCAGGACCTCAGGAGGTCATGCGGGGCACTTGGTGAATCAGGTCCTAGGGAGGCCATGCAGAGTACTTGGTGAATCAGGACCTCACAAGGACGTGCGGGGCACTTGGTGAATTGGGACCTCAGGAGGCCATGCAGGGCACTTGGTGAATCAGGTCCTAGGGAGGCCGTGCAGGGCACTTGGTGAATTGGGAGCTGAGGAGGCCATGCAGGGTACTTGGTGAATCAGATCCTAGGGAGGCTGTGCAGGGCACTTGGTGAATCAGGTCCTAGGGAGGCCGTGCAGGGCAGTTGGTGAATAACCTTTTAAAGGACAGCTTCCTTTCATCTTTTCTTTTTCTTTGCATTTTTTTTTGTTGAAGAAATTAATTGTTTCCTTGTCAAGATTTTGCATTTGTGTCTCATGACTCCATTCCCTGATATTGAGCAGTGTATTCTCTGTCCTGGTTCTCCTGTAGGTCAGCTCGTAGCTCCAGAGGCTCTATCAGATTCCACTTGGTTTGGAGACACCATTTCATCCATGCACCACACACCTCCACCAGGGCATGCAGGAAGACTCTGTGTCTCTTAAACCTGTTTTTAAAGAATTCTGATTTTATGTGTCTGCACAGGCATACATTCCTTTAAACTCAGTCCTTTCTCTTTTGGGAAAAAAGTGTTCATCTTTGCTATGGGCTGTTTTAAATATGCGTGATTTATCACTTATTTCTCCTGGTCTAACCTAGTCATTCTTAGTAATGACACACAGAGATGCTGCTTTCTAGCTGCAACTAGCAAATTTCGCAAGTTACTAATCGATTCTTGTGACATGCTTGTCGACTCCAGGACACTGCAAATCTTACCTGCTTTGGGGCTTGAGAAACTCTCATCCTATAAAGGCAAATTTACCAGTTCTCCTGAGAGTGGTTGAGAGCGCTGAGCCCTCAGACTGGTGGGTCTGGGACCCCCGCCCACCCTCCTAGCCGGTGTCTGTAGCTGGAGTGTGCTCTTCTGTGTCTCACAGTTGCGTTGCGGCTAAAGCGGCAACACAGCTTTCTGATGGCTAATGTAGGAGTTGTGTTTGTTAGTTCTGGTGGCGGCTGTGTAGCTGAGAGGACCCTTTCAATTTTAAGCAACCAGTGCCTACTACCATGTACGATGTGCCCTTCCCCTAAAAGCAGTGGTGGGAGGGGAGCGGGCACATGAGCACACCCACAGCTGCGAGGAGAGTGAGACTCCTTGACTGTTGAGGTCGCCGTCCTTCCCGTGACAGCGTGTGTCTGTGTGGTTGGTCCTGGCTGTCCTGAGCAAGTCTCAGTGAGCCCTGCGGTGTCCATGCTGGGAAAGTGGATGCCATGAGTCAGGACGCTGGCTTAGGGCAGGGGAAGTGGTGATCCCAGGGTGGCGGGTCTGGGAACCCGCAGGAGGGGCAGGCAGTGTTTCAAACCAGTCGGCTGCCTCATCCTCCTTCCTTGCAGGGAGGACCTGGTTTCATGAAAGATTGTCTTTTTGAGGTAAAACACATGTTTCATATTTAGACAAGAATTCTTAGCTGTGTAGTTGAAGCTCACACATGAGTAGAAATGACTTAAATTTCTGGGGAAAACAAAAATGCAAGAAAATCCCCCTCTATTCAGCTGTGGTTTCTGTTGCAGATGCTATTAAAGTCGTTACTTGGAAATGGGTCTGGTGACTCAAACTGCAGTTGGGGTGCTGAGAGGGAAGATTTGCTGTGATCTCCCTTGGGGACACCCATGCCCCATGCAGTGTGCAGGCTCCCTCTGTGCTGGGCCGCAGGTGTGGGCCATGGGGCTGCGGTTGGGCCCCGTCTACTGCGTGACTGTAGAAGTCCAGGGTCCGCTGTGGGAGGGCACGTGGTGGGGGAGGCTGGCCAGGGAACTGGATTCCCTGGGATGGGTTTGGCAGGGTCCCTCAAATCATTTCCAGTGTCTGCTGTGCTAACCTAGCCTGCCTCAGAACCACCACTCTTTTGTTCCTAAGTCTGTGGCTACCACGTATTTGATGCTGCATTTGGGGATGAGAAAGCAGAAGTCGTATTTGGCTTTTTCCTGAGGGCGTTTCAGTTTTATGTGAAGTTTCTTCATAACTTTTTAATCTCCACTTCTCTGTCTCATCCTGTGTTTGGTGTTTCTTCATCCTGCCTCCCTCTTTCACCAAAAAGGAACCAGATGAGAAGGTGGCTTGGGTCTGGTCTTGTGGTTTATCAGACGTGGGCAAGGGGCCGCCTCCGGCCTGCCTGTGGGGACCGGGCAGCGTGAGTTCTGCAGGAGCCCCAGCAGTGGGAACAGCAGCAGCAGCAGACTTGTGCTGGACACTCCTGTCATTTCCCGTAAACAGGGATACGCAGAGCGTGGATTCATAGGAAGTTTCTAGGTCATAGTGTTGAACTCCCTCTGATTACATTAGGACATTGGTGTGCCTCCTGTGTGTGGCATCTTCATAAACAGTGAGCACAGAAATTAAAAAAAAAGACTGAGGCCATTCATTCAGTTCAGTCAGAAAGTCCGTTCACTGGAAAACTTAGACAGATGGTAGCTGGTATGAAGAGAGGAGTCTAATGGGACACAGCCCTGCCGGGGCCAGCAGATGGAGGGGCCAGTGCCTCGTCTCTGTCTCTGCCCAGTCTGCTCACTCAGCAGAGCCAAGTCCACATGGACCTGCACTGGCAACTCACTGGAACTTCCCCGAAACGACTTAAGGCAAAAAGGATGCTGAAGTTCTCTACTTGCTGTGAAACTATCTTAAGAAGTTAATGTCCTTTTTTCTTTTTCCTTTCTTTCTTCTTTAGAAATTAAAGAACACATTTCATTTTCAGTAACTCTACCATCCTGGTCTTTTATCCCCATTCTCTGTTCTTTGGTATTTAGACTTGCCCTAATTCATCTGTCTCCTCTCCTAGTCAGGAAAAAAATCAGTCAGTCATTTCTTGCATTCCTAATCTACATAAGAGAATTATATTTAACAAATGTCCTTCAGCCCAAGATAAATGTCTGAATCAGTGAATTATTTATCCTGTTTTCAGTGTGTTAACTGTCTGTTTGGAGAGCCAACAGATTTGGGTTTCTATGGAGAACCATCAGTACAAAGTCAAGGGAGTAAGGAGCAAGGTGGCCTCCACGACGGTCCCCATCAGCTGTGGCCGTGGCTGGACGAGCTGCAGGAATGATGCTTCTTAGGAAGAGGGGACAGCTAAGCTGGTGGTTGTGGAGGGTGGAAAGGCAAGGGCCCTTGCCTTCCAACCCAGGCGGCCACCCCCCGATGCGGGAGGGCGTGCTGGAGTGGGCTCTGCAGAGGGGCACGGTGCGGGGTGGAGCTGGATGCTGGAGTGGGCTCTGTGGAGGGGCATGGGGTGGAGACCTGGACATGTCCAGTAACCCTCAGGACCTTCTTGCAGGTCAGGGAGTCTGGCTCGTGTCCCGTGAGCAGTTTGGAATCACTGAGCATTTTGGGCAAGAAGTGATGGGGTGATTGCAGACTTTACTCAGGTTCCCTCGTCCTGTGCCGCCTTCTGAACCTTTCACAGACTGTTCGTTTCGTTCGTTAATTATGGGGCACAATATAAAAAGGTTGGAGTTTTTAGAGGTGGGGGAGGTTTTTATAATGCTGTTTTTATTTTTGGCTTTGATACCAGTCCAGATATTAGCAGTGAGCTAGGCCGCTTATTTCAATATCTGTTACTTTAATTGTGAATTATTAATAAATGTTCCAGACATCGTATCCTATGTCATTTCTAACTGTTAAACCATAAGAAGGCCTGGTAACCAGGAAAAGGTGCTGGTAACTTCTGATGTCCACACACAGTTGACATTTCAGTAAGGGCACATAAGTC